AAGCTTTTGTGCTGCTCATTTCCGGGTTCACTTTGGTGTGTTTATTAAAGCACGGTATTGTCAGATCACGGGGAGTATCTCATTTTCATTTTCATATCTCCAATTCTAAAGGGGATTAAATTATCCAATTAAGCCGTTAATTAAAAAGACTCCTACAGAATAAACTGCAGGCTACCAATGGCATTTTCAATTTTCATTGTACTCTGCTCAAAAGCAATTTACTAAATTCAAAAGAGCTCAAAGTTACTGCCCTGGAATTCACTTTATAAGGTACAGTTAGCAGTGCTACCTGAGAGTCCAACCCATTTCCTCTTCTTTTGGGTTATCTGGCTGGACTACATAACCCAGCCTCCCCTTCAGTTAGATTTGGCCACACGACAGTATTAGCCAATGGAATCAGAGCAGAAGTAATGTAGACTATTTCCAATATTATCCCAAATCTTCCACTCAGCACTTCCATGTTGTTTCCCCCTCTGCAAGTTTCTTGCTGATGAACATATATTCAATTATGTGTTCAAAATGGGAGAAGAAACCTTAGTTCCCAAATTATCAGCTGGAGGAAAGAAATTCATGGATCATCAATACCTATTATGTATATAACAAAAACAAAAAGTTAACTTAAACTGTGTTAAGCCATCAAGATTATCTGTTTCTACAGCTAGTATGATATAAATTACTAAAAAAAGCAAGTGAACTTGAGTCTAATTAGAAATATTAATGTAAATACTTTAAGTCTAATTAGAAACATTAGCCTCCTTCAAATTTTGATCAGGTCCACTTAGATATATACTTGAAAGCAAACTCAATACCTATTGGATCTCTTAAAATCAAAGTTATATAGGCCACAGCAAGGGAGATTCTGGACTTCTTGTCTCCATTCCCCAAAGCCCTCCTTTCCTGTCCATATCCCAAAGATCACTCAAAAACTTGGGCATTTATATGCATGTTTAGTTCTGCCACTACCCTACACACAAAAATTCTCATTTCATGGATCAGCTCAGAAGCTAGAAACTCAGGAAGTAAACTCTACAAAAGGGGCACTATCAGGTCATACTCAGCCACTTATTATCCACTAATTCTATCATTTGATATATATTTCCTGTACATGATGCCATGACCTACTACACAATGGGTTGACCTAGAAGCCTAGAAACCAGTACTTTTCCATATCTTAGAGCATATCAGTGCCAGAAAGGTATTTAAAATAATGAACAGAGGACTCTACTTACACTGGCAACCTAACCCAAATAGGCTCCATAAAGAAGTTAGTATGAATTCTATGGTATGCCTATGGAGTTATCTGGAATCAGGCTTTCAGAATCCTCCATTACTTGGGTCTATGGGTCACCACACACTTCTAGTTCTCTGAAAGTGCACTGGGCACAGAGGCTCCAGTAGCATGATGGCAACTATCCTAGAGAGCCATAGCAAATTAGAAACAAAAGCACACAGAAGGTGAGTTAGAATGCCCCATCAAAGGGGTTTGCTGGGATCCGGACCGAAGGAGCACCAACAGTGTCCTCCAGGGGCGTTGAATAATTCCTTCTCTGTGTCCCAAACCATACCCCAAGTGGTCTAATTGTAAGCACTTACATATGCATCTCCCATGTTGACCAGATTGTTTGTTGAAGCCAGAGACAGTATATTATCCACCTAACTATAGCTGGTTTAGGGATGTAAATATAATGGGTGCTCAGTTATGAAGTGCTGAATGAATGACTATAAATTGGACTGTTAAAGAATGGTAACAGCATATTCGGGTTCTTTGGTTTGATAGTAACAATAATGTCACTTTTGTGAGACCAACCCTATAATGGTCAATTATTTCCTCAAAGGCATGTCTTTTTCATGGAGGGAACATTATGGCAAATGCAGTTAACCACATCTGCTGACTTACATTTTAGAAGAAAATATAATGACTGCCTTACAAATCTTTAATTATCTACAGAGCAAGTTACTACATTAAAATTCTACTTTCCTAAACCAAAAGAGATAGTATACTACAGTGCATTGTATACTTTTTAATACAGTCTAAAACAGAATATTAATAGATGTACTATATCTTCGTATTTTTTTTAAGGAGAGAAATGGAAAGACTTCAAGCTACTTTTTATTGTCCTTAAAAAGACTGTTTTTATTGTTTCAAAAGTAGGGGAAGAAAACACAATCAAACTCATCTCACAAAGACTATTTAGATAAAAAATGCATAATCCAATAACATCTTACTTTGAACCAGTGGGACACTTCCACTGGTGATGAGAATGTTGTATGAAACAATCGGATATTTTTCCATGATTTAAGATGCAACAGAAGCATTATGTTAAAAAATATTGAGGAAGAAGCCTATCAAGTGCTTTGATTATAGAAATGTTGATTGAATAAATATATTTGGAAATAGGAGTACTAAGGGATGATGATTAATCCAGAGGGCAGTAATCCAAAGCCTAAAGACTCTGTCTTTTCTTACTCTGAGATACCTGACAAGTAATTTCAAGCCTGTCCATTTCTCTGGCATGAGCATAACCTGTCTGGCAAGCCATAGTTCCTAGTTGCTTCTTAGTGATAAAATTTATGTGCTGTGCTTTAAGCTCCATTGAGGCAAGGCACTAAATAAACTTGAGGATAATTTATTAATCCTGAATTTGCATTAGTCATATCCCAGTTCATGTGGTAAAAGGAAAAAATATGAAAATAGGACGCCAATGCTGAGTACTTGGTGAAAAGCTCAGCAAAGCCAATCTGGGATCCAATATGTAATTTACTTTTAATTTACCATAATGATTTTTGTAAAACTTTATTGGCTCTCCTCCAATAGATATGCTCAGCAAGGATCGCCAAAATCCTGTCTTCTCTTCAGAGCCACATTCTTAGGCCAGTTTCTGTCTACTTTTTCCTTTTCCTTTCTAGTTGTATCTTATCTTCTTCCCTCTAAACTTGATCAATGACTGTTTCTTTTAGCAGCCTATATCAAAGAGAAGGACAAGAAGACTATAATTTGAAGAGTTAAACACAAGCATTTAGAAATCTGATCCTACAAAATTGTCTTAGTTAATAGTGATGATTTTATATTGCTACTTTGGTTTGTTTTAATAATGTCCATACTATACACAATTTTCAGTAGAATTGAGTTAGATCAAGAAAAGTTAATCAGTAAAAGTTAACTCTGTCATCAAGAAGCTGTGAGAGACCCAACTGATCACCAACCAGTTTTCCTGGACTAACAAGTGACTTCATTTCCACTTCCAAAGTCATAAATCTATGCTTTTATCAAACACTTTCTCTGACCTGCAGGAATATGTTTATTCAGAATTTTAAAAAGAAACCTAGAAGGAAAATACTATTCATATAAGCATGACAAACTTTAGCTAATTTTAAGCACTCAAGTAAGGAATAAAACAAAAAATATTGTACATGTCTAAATCGAATTGAATTGCTTACTCTAGAGAAAAGGCACATACATTTCCAGCACCCCTGACCTAGTACTACTTGTTTTTAGACATACAAACTAAGGTCACATTAAGCTGTGGTTAAGAGGAGGAAAAGGTAGCTGCCCTTCAGAAGTTTATCCATTCGGAGAGGAGGAAAGTCAAGGGGAAAATCACTCTCCTCTGACTAATGCAGTGTAATTGTTTTCCTTATGATGGTTCCCCTCCATTTTTCTCTCTTCAGAAGTTCCCATGGTTACAAAAGGACGTGGCACACACTTACATGTCTTTTAAAAGGATGACAAGTCACAGAGATGCAAAATGACCTCCTGTGGTTAGTCTGAATTTGTCATTTTGCTTTTGAGATTTTCCCTTTGGCCCACTTAACCCAGTATCTCATGTACAATGAATAATGTGATGGGGTGTGGGGGGGTGCCTATGTTAAGAAACAGGAAACGCCAGGTAACCACTTTAATGCTATTTCAGTTTTATCCTACATACACACACAACTAAAAGATAGAGGGGTTCACTTAAAAGGATAATGCTCTAAGGATCAAAAACAGTACTGCTCTTTCTTCAAAGACTTGAAAAGTAAAAATTATATTCCTTAGTTCTATTCAGGAATTTTAAATTGAATCAGTATATTCTAAAATGGCTTCAATCAAGAAAATTTTTAAAAGGTTTTCTTTTTAAAGAGAGGGAACATTAACTGAGATGAAATGGAAGAGCATTTTGCTCCCTCTCAATGTAGTGTTTATCCCTTTGCACTAAAGGGAAATGAAAGCCATTTGTTTCTAATGGGGAATTGGAAAATCCTCCACTCAATACCTGCTCATTGAAGAACCAGGATCATGCAGACTAGATAAAATTTTGGAGATTTCATCTCCTAGTTTTCCTGTTGTTGCATGACTAGGAGTTTTTACTTCTTCTGGGACTTAATATTGCCTTTTCGTCCTATTTGATAAACTCAACCTTTACCTAGTAGACTTATTGTCATCTTTGTTCATGCTGACCTGAACAAGGCAATCAGCTGCATCAGATGCAAGTTATGAGGCACATTTTCATTCACATAGACTCCAAAGTTGAAAGTAAGAACTTCATTGAAAAATGTAAAATGGAGATCCAACATAGTTCTTATTTAACTACCTTAGCATTAAGAAATGCTATAGTAATGACTGTCCATGAAGTCTAGCAATGCAGTCCAAAGAACAGCAAGGCCTTCTATATATGCATACACATGTCTTCATCACTGAGGGTTACAGGTTTACTAGACTGAACTTTTTGATGGACACATTCTACTTAGGACTCCTGAAAAGCTACAGATTGAAATGGTATGTACCATTGAGCTATGACTAACTAAAATGGAAAATAGCAACAATTCAGCAGATAGCACTTTAAGACACATAGCCCAGGGATTTACTTTTGTTAGTTTGATTTTCTAAAGAAAAATCCATGGTCCATTTCTTGCTTTTACTTTTTTAAGATCTATGACTCTCAACAGATACTGTTTCGATCCAAGCAGGTCATCTACTCAAATAATGAAAACGCATCAAAAATAAAAGTCCTCAGGGGAATATAGGCCTAAATAAGTGGGCAGTTGTCTCAGGATGGCAGAATACAGCACTCCAGCTACCAGAGTCGACAGGAATCCACACCTCTGTTCATCGAGGAATTATGTGGGCAATTAAAAGCTTTCTGGAATTCTTCAAAGTTGCTAATGGCACCATTGACCCTGAAAAAAGATATGGCAAAACACATGTCATTTAATTCATCAACAGGTTCTGGATGAAATTGTAATGGTATATTGCTAGAAAGGATCTTGACATTTATTTAATCTGTTTACAGGAGAAATAGCTAAAGCCCCAAATCATTAAGTAAAATTCCAAAAAATTAACAGCACTAAGACTAGAACCAACATCTCCTGAATGCCAGGCAAATGTTCCTACTACTCTTCCAACATTCTTCAAAATCCTTTAAAACTATACCATCTTCAATACTTAGTTTTTCCAAGATTTTTTAAAATTTAACTTTTATGGAATGTATAATTGATATAAAGTACATGATTCTTAAATGTAGAAACCACTAATTTGTTCATGGGTACCCAATATTACTACCATTCAGATCAAGACAGGATATTTCCAGTAACCTGAAAGCCCCTTTGTGTCCCCTACCAAGGATAACTACTATCCTGACCTCTATCACCATAGCTTTGCCTGCTTTTGAATTTTACATGAATGGAATCCACAGTATTCAGTGTTGTGTCATTGACTTCTTTCACTCAACGTCTGTAAAATCATTCATTTCCAACTATTTTTAAATAATTTTTTCAATCTACAAAAATAATTTCTCTTCTCTAAATTTCTGTTAGTTTGGGGGGATCATATTTACCTAGAATCTAGTTAATGCAACAACCAACTAATGGAAAGCATCTAATTGTTACAGATAAATACTTCTTCACTAGATTTTAGTTCCAAAATCCGGTGTTCTTGCAAGTTCCCAACTGCAGTAAAGACTGTGGATTCCTACTCAGCACTTTGATTGTAAGTGCTTTTTGGAAGTGGTATTTCCATTGTGTGATTTTCACTGCACTCAAAATCTATAGTTACTGCAGACATCAGTTTTAAAAAAAACTGCCCCCCTCATCTATTTCTCACTCAACCTCACATTCAAAAGGTTGACTAGAAACTCAGCATTCTCAGCCACTGACTATTTCTTCCCTAATGACTTTGTTACCTAGAGGCATTTGAATGAATGTAATGGCCTGTATCCAACAAATTCTCATAACCTCTTGTGTTTTAACTGGGATGTATGGGTAGGGGTGCATATTTCATAGTGTGCTTCACCCTAGGCAAGTGTTAAAGATAGAATATAGCTGATAATTAGTAAGCATACTCTGTAAATTATCAGCTAAAAATCCAACATTACAGGCAACTAGTTAGTAAAAATAAGTTTCTAAAAACTTAACTGTTGAGTAATTAATCTACTGTGTGGCTTCATCTGCACCATTTGTCAGTGGGAGCACATTTTTAGTCCATTAGAAACTGTCAGGCTTCATGACAGTTTAGCCCAGTGGGGGAGAATTTCCAACACAGTGATTAGATTTTTATGCTACTGGGTAATTTATGGTCAATGTTCAAAGCATTTCTAAGGCAAGATTTTAGGAATAAGATTTTTAAAATATAGAAGAAATTTCAGATGACTTTCTTGCAATATGCAAATGGATTCATTTAAATATTAAATGTAAAGATATCCAGGTTAATATGTTCTAAGCAAAGAATGAATAACTATAAATTATTATGATTTCTTATCATGATTATATGTCCTCTACTTAGAAAATTTCTCTCGGGCTATGGAACCAAGGACAGGGTAAGTAATATCAAACATAATTTTGTTTTTATTTAATACTTTATACATTCTGACAATTAAGAGTGTAATTCATAATCCTGTTCCCTTCATATGTAAGCAATTGTTTCAAAATATGATGCAAGCTGAAAGCCAAAATATAGTGTCCTCACTCTAGATATGAATTATAATTGCTCAGTATCACCATAAATCTTCCTTTGGGTTCAGATCTATTCAGAAAGTGGGCATGCATTTATGTATGTTGGATGGCTGTGTGGAAAAAGTAAGAAGTATTAAACAGAATATGCTTTAACATGAAACAAACCAGAGTTCTAGATGTTTTAAGGCAAAGTGCCTCATATTACATCTTCTTTGGAGATAATAAAATTTGGGTTTTGGCTCAGACCTCCCCCCCCAAAAAATTAGGTAGTTGGGTGTTTTCAATATTTCAGTTTACTGATTGCCCATGGTGATCATAGCACCCATGTATTGCTGCCTTTCAAAATCTGGAAGATCATAAATAGAATTTAATACTAAAGCTATGATTTGGATTCCAAATTACTTTTGTATTCCCATGGATCTCTGGAAACTAGAGATGTGTACAACTGCTCATCAACAGAAATTTAGTTGAAAAAGCACTGAATATACCAGCTTACTACTATTGCAGAAAAAGATGTTTAGTTTCTGTTTGGCCAGATTTGGTTATCTGCAAAATGGAGATTACACCTTCACAATACAGGCTTTTGTTTGCATCACTCATGAGTAGTACACTGGGATGGAATGATGGGTGTGGTGTGGGGCAGGAGATATACAGTTAAAAACTGGTATCACCCATTTAATCATTTACCTAAATTGAGGGGGGCTGTGAGCACCAATTTGAATTTGTTCTCGGGCAGCTTCTGGTCTATAAGAATTGCACCTCACCTAGAAGAGAAAGGCATCCCAATAAATAAGCTTCCATTCCAATTATACATTTTCTAGTTTAACTGCTCCAAATTATACCAAAATATAATTTTAGAATGAATAGATGACAAACAATTTTAGCAGACTAGATAAAACCTTCATCAGTAGTAACATCTATTATTCTAATCCCCAGAGTAGGAGTTTTTTCAATATGAGTAATTATACAATTTGGTAAATTAGAGAGTTTCCAGACATGTGCTTTAAATCAAAAAAAATCATATATGTGCCCCAAAATTAATCAATGCATTTTCTTCAATTAATTTAATGTTTTAAATATCCCATATCAAATGTAATCATGCTCATTTGAACCAATAAAGTAAATCGGCCATTTAGAATTGAGTATGGTCATGAGAAGTTACTATTTTGCCCCAAGTATTTTCCTTGCCTCAACCTAGTCTCAGCCTGGAACAGGAGTACATTTCTCCATTTCCTTTGAAGTTAGGCACAGAAATCTAACTTGTTCTGACCAATGAAACATGAGCAGAATGATAGATGTAACTTCTGGGCAGAGGCTTAAAAAAACTGACAGAAGTTTTAAGAGCCTTAGGAATACATTAAGGGGCAATGCACATTTCCTTACATTTCTTCCCTATACCTGTGGTGACCATGAAATTACATGTCAAGATAAAGATTCCAAACCCTAGGCCCTTATGTAAAAATTACAGGCAGGGCCCTACTGCTAATATATGATGGACTTGGAGCATGAACAAGAAATACACTTTCGTTATGCTGTTCTTTTCTGCAGTATAACCAACTTAATTCTGACTCAAAGTATATCTTCAAATATGATATAATCTTCAAGTATGAACAGGACTAGGACACATGGAAACGGTGGTGGGGAACATTCTAATGGCAGGGCAAATGAGAAAATGATTGGGAGAGGGGGAAGGCAAGACACTGAACTTGATTGCAATAGGTTGTATATAATTGGCAGCAATGGAAGACCAAGTGAGACAGAATGGCGAAAGATTTTTGAAGTCCTAAGCAATAGACTAAAGTTTTTAAACTATATTTTAACATTGTTCTTGAGCAGGAAAATAAAATCCATATTTTTCAAAGATTTGTCTGGTAGGCATGTAGAGTAGAAGGAGGAAATTAAGAGACTAGTTAGAAGATTATTTATGGGCAATGAATATCCACTAAATAAGTAGGAATAGGAATGGAAGAAGTAGAAGGATGAGAAGAATCTCCAAGAAAAGAAATTGATAGGTCACAGCAACTGCAAGAATATAGGAAACAGGAAAGGTGATATGATGCTATTAATTTTGATGACTGTAAATCATCAGTCATTGTGTTTCTGAATTGATTTTGAAAATGTTTTTTGTAAATGATTCTTTAATTTCCTCAGAAGCTATCTAATGTGAACTTGTTTTGACATTTGATTTTTACCTCATTTCTTTTTAGGTTACTTCGTCTTATACCCTTACATTATTATATATAATTGTCTATGTCACCTATGTCACTTAAGAGATTTCTGAAAACACATTATAGTTGTTACTATTTTCCTAGTACCTTCCCAGGAGGGAAAATAACTTTGCTTCCTATAAGCAGACTTAACTCCAATGTGCAAAAGATTGAAAATATCCTCATTCTGTCAGTAGGAAAAGCTCTAAGATAAATTTCTCATTAGTGATAAAAATAGCTTTCCACTTTTTCCCTAAATCTCTTTACTTTAAAATAAATCAGAAATGGTTTCATATTACATTTGGAAACATTTTAAAATTATAACTATATCATCACTATTAATTAGTTTATTTCATCTGTGAAGAAGTAATTTGGACTAGGATGTAAATAGTAAAAATGAATGAACCCTTGTAGTTTGTCCTCTAGATCTGGGATTAGCAGACTCTCTGTAAAGAGACAGATAGCAAATATTTTAGTCTCTGAAGACCAGAAGGTACCTGTTTAACTAATCAACTCTGCCACTGTAACACGAAATCAGCTAGAGTATAGCTATTTTTCAATAAAACATTATTTACAAAAACAGGAAACTGCCAACCTTAACTGGAGAAAATTCTTACTGTTGTTTGTGTGCTTATTTTAACACCTGACCCTATAATCACCCAAAAGGAAGTCTACCTAGTTGAATTGTGTTAGCCTTTTCCTTTTGAAGCAATTGATCTAAAAATATCAAGCATCTTCAATCTATTCAGCATCTTTGCTGGGTGCTATGGAGGAAAATAACAAGTATAAGGATCCAGAAGATTAGCTGTGGAGATCAACCTGAAAGTCTTGAACATTTTGAGAGCAATTAAGTACTCAACTGAATGTTAGTAAAAGGAAGTATAACAGGAGTTAGAGATAAAAGAAAATAATGAGGACTGGACTGGAATCCTTTGGGAAGAGTTATGGATGAGGTGAAACTCAACATGGTTCCTGAAGAAGAAAGCTGAGACTGAATAATAATTTGGGGAGGAAAAGTAGGGAGGGGGCCACATTATAAAAGGAGAATCAGAAGCAAGGCCACAGAGACAGTAATGAGCATGACATCATGGGGGCGGAAGTGGGGATACTGCCTGGATAAGGTTGAGTTTTTCTGATCCAATGAAGCTGTAGGAAATTAAAACAGATCAGGTAGAGAAGGATCAGACTGAGAACTTTGAAAGCCAGATGAAGGTATTTAGACTCAATGTTATAGACATTTGAGAACCATTGTTGTTCTTTTAGTAGATCAGTACCGAAATAAAATGGTATTTCAGTGAAATGTAAAAGAGTAGTAAAAGATGCTGAAGTAAGGAATACATGCCATAAAGCTGTTGGGATAATCCAGAGCAGAAGACATCAAAGCTTTGCCTATAGATGAGATAGGGTAATGGGGATGCTGTAGGCTGAATGTTTGTTTCCCCCAAATTCAGCAGAACCTTATGCTACTGGCATCTTGATTTCAGACTTTCAGCCTCCAGAACTATGAGAAATACATTTTTGTTTATGAGCCTGAACTGCCTAAAACAAGAGAGAATGAGAGGTTGAATCTAAACAGTATTTAAAAAGATGAAACATCTGGGATGGAGCTGGAGCTCAGCAGTAGAGCACCTGCCTTGTGTGTGTGATGCACTGAGTTTGATCCTTAGCACCACATAAAAATAAATAAATACAATAAAGGTATTGTGTCCATCTACAACTAAAAATTTTTTTAAAAGATGAAACATCTAGATTTGGTAAAATATGGACAGTTAAATCAAATAGACTTTCTAACTAGGGAGATAAAAAAACTGGGTGTATGTTAATAGAAATCTGAAAACTAAAAAGGAAAGTGATTTTGTTGATATTGGATTGATCAATGATAATTGGTTTGGTGTTTTCATGCCAGTTTCAAGAGCTAAAAGATCCCAGACAGGTAGGAATTCCTTAATCAGAGTATTAAGAATTAGGAACAGGTAGGAATTCCTTAATAAGAGATGGATGTGCTTACTGAGGAATGAATGCAAAGACTTAGGAACAAATGGTGGTACTGATGAAAACTTTTGTCAAGCTTTGAGCATGTACTTAAATGTTTGCCCACTGTGAGGCCATACATCAGAACCTTTATAGACACATCATGACTTTTTTGAAAATGTTGTCTATACATTTGTGACACAAACCAGTGCAATAACCAATGGCAAAGAATTGGTACTTGCTTCATTAGCCAGAGACTCAACTGAGAATTATACCTTATTTAGTGTTTCCTTCCAATTTCTGCCCCAATAACATATTAAACTCGTGAAAGAGTAACATGATTCTCCTTGCCTTTGTTGTTATTTTTCAGCTCCAACAGTCCTTGTGTATTTATTTGACAGTTGGGAACCCAGACCTGAGTGTCCCCCATAGGTTGAGAGGGATAGAATGAATTCAGCAAGTGAGGCAAAGGAAAAGGAGAAATGTAGGGAAGGGCAGGGCCACAAAAATCAAGGAACACATTACTGGAAATGATTACAAGTAGTACCAAATGCATGAAGAAGTCCAGATATATTGAGGAACTATATGGTTAATTAGTTAAAAAATTAGTTCACTGGTTAAAAAATACCAGTGAACTTTGAATCAATAGGTTAATTATTATATGTTTTACAGAACATTAAGATGATGGACTTTATCCTGAAAGTAATCAGCGAGAGAATATTTTGGACAAAATTAAAGTCATGCCATTAAACTATGATGAAAGCCACAAGCTCAAGTTCTGCATTACATCCTTGATGCCCCTTCCTCAGTGTACTCACATGGGCATAACTCAGGAAGAAGAGCTGGTTGTTGTTGAATGTAATGCCTGGTAGGAGAGGCTCCTCAACTCCTTGCCTTCTCTCATTTACCCATTTCCTATAAGCCTAGAGAGAGAAACAGGATAGATGAGCTGTGAAATGATGATTTTCCCTTTATTCCTCCAATACAGACATATTAAATATATACTCCTGCCATTTGCAAAATGCAATGTATCAAATTTTCCTTTAAGAAAACACCTAGAAGTTAATGTCTTTCCACTTAAGAGTGAAGTAGGTACACCAGAAAAAGACCTTACACTCAATAACTACCAAAGGAGCTGAGCCACAGTACTGAGACATTAAATAATTCTTTTTAAAAAGAATTCAACATGGGACAAACAAATGTAACACCATGACAAGGCCCTCAGGGAAATATATCTGTGGGTACACATATTATCAATTCTTTATTTTTTCCAATTAGCAGGAAAACTATCATCATTGATCACCATCATTTTATAAAACAAAATTTATTTTAATAAGCATATAGGAAGGATATAGCCTTGTAATAATAATCTGGTCTTTTTATTATATTTTGATAAATAGCCTTAAGAAAAGGATATATAGCACATCAAAAACTTGGTCTTTAAAGTGAATGTATTTAGCTTTATGAAAAATTTCCCATATTATACTTGTTTCTTATTTAACCAAAGACCAATGGATGACAAAAACAGTATTATAGACTCTTATCTGGACCAATACATGAGAATCACTAGCCTCTGCCCATAATTTAGACTTTTGGTATTTTAAGATAAAATTTTAAGTAGAGAGAGAGAGCTGTACTCAGGGAAAACTCATATGTACCTAGCCCCAAGGAGGTTTCTGTAGCATACTTTGATATGATTGTGAGTGTATTTTCTGAAAACTTTCTTTTAAATTCATGATTCTTAATAACAAATATTATTCTTTAGGGTAACTTTATGCCTCAAAAACAAAAAAAGAAAGAAATGCAGATCTATTTATGTAATAGAGCATAATAGAGTTGATGGGGAAATACAATTCTATTTATAGAAACTCCAGAATACCCAACTCCTAAGAACATGTCTGCAGTATAAATTGAGGTGCACCCATACAGTGTTTTATAGATTAATTTTTAAAACCACAGCAAACATTGCAGTTCATACCCTAAAAGCTTCCCGCAGACCTCCATTATCGGCAATATTTTCTCCTAGGGTCCTCTTCCCCTTCACCTAACAAAAAGAAAAAAAAAAGCGTTTCACGGTCAACTATCATTCAGCAAGAGGCATAAATATTATAGCAAGCAAAAGTGTCATATTTTAAAGAGAAAATTACATTCAGTAAATCAGAGGTAGTCATAATATATTGCGAGATGGCAAACTAACCCCAGCAAGGTGCTCCTGAATATAATAATTTCTATTTTATTATGCTGCACATTACTTTCTCACCCTCTTTAATCTCACCAATTTTTTCTAGCTCCAATAAAATATTAACAATATTCTGAGTGACTCTGGTTTAATGGGAAAAAATAGAAATGTCAATACACAGATTACTTTATCTGATTAACTCATATAATTTGAGTATTCTCCTCATTGTACCTATGTTTCCAAAAATTTGCCATCCATACAGGAACAAGATTTCAAGAACAACCATTATCATTTTACCTCTAGTAATTTCCATGAAAAATTAAAAGAAGGATAGCTCTCCTGGGGAACAAAAATCAAACAGTAGTGCAGACCACAAGGTCAAGGTTTGCAATGTGTATGACACCCAGTCAAGCACAGAGAAGATCATTCTTCTGATTATTTGAAAACCATTTCTTAAAATCTCAAATGAGCCAGAACCTAAATATTTTAAATATTCTAAATCAATACAGCTCACAACCCAAAGCCACCCTGCCACTTGTTTTAGTACAGGCTACCAGGTATGACTGGGTTTTACATTTTTCAATGATTGGGGAAGAACAATAAAAAGGAGAAGAATATTTTATGGTATGCAAAAATTATGTGAAATTCAAATTCAGTGGTCATAAATTAAATTTTATTGGAACACAACTATGCCCATTCATAAACACACTGTCTGTGGTTACTCATTTTACAAAAGCAGAGTTTAGTATTTACAATAGAGACCACATAACCTACATTGCCTAAATTACTTACTGTTTGGACTTTTACAAAAATATTTGCCAGATCCAGTGTAATAGGCAGGATACTGGCCTCCCAAAGATGTCTACATCCTAATCCCTAAAACTTGTAAATATATTATCTCACAATGACAAAGGGGACTTGTAAGATATGATTAAGTCAAGGATCATGACATGGGAACATTGCTGGATTACTCAGGTGTACTCAATGTAATTACAAGGGTCCTAAACAGGTCAAGAGAGTAAGTGTCAGAGTGATCCAATGTGAGAAGACTACACTGGCCATTGCCAACTTTGAAGGGAGGAACCATGAGCCATGGAATATGGGCAGCCTCTAAAAGTTAGAACAGAAAAAGAAACAGATTCTCTCTTAGTTCCTCTAGAAAATAACATAGACCTTCTGACACCTTGATTTTACACCACTGAGACTTGGGTCAGACTTTTGGCATACAGAACTACATGACAATAAGTTAGTGTTGTTTTAAGTTACTAAGTTTGCAATGATTTGTTACAGCAGCAACAGGAAACTAACACAAGCCATGGATCCTACCAACTCTTTACTTTTAATCTAGCCCAATTTTCCAGGTATTAAGTAACACTAACAAATAAAAACAAATCTTTATAGAAGTACTTTGGATTAGACAAAGGGGAATGAAGGGAAGGTAGGGGGGAAGGGAGTAGGAAAAATAGTAGAATCAATCCAATATAACTTTCCTAAGGTCATATATGAATAAGTGATCAGTGTAACTCCACACCATGTACAACCACAAGAATGGGAAGTTATACTTCATGTATGTATGATATGTCAAAATATACTCTATTATGTATAACTAAAATGAACAAATAAATTTAAAAAAAATCTTTGAAAACATTTTTTGCTATAATCACCCAGAATAACCCTGCTAAATTTAGTCCCCAAAAGTCAGCATTCCTGCTTTACCTACATTCTTTTACTACAATTCTATGAGGTAAGTCCTATTATTATCATTCTTATTTAATAAATGAAGATCTGAAACTCAGAATATGTAGCAGTTGTTGTTAGTATCCCATTGGATCCCTTTTTCTACCAGGACTATGAACCCATTCCTGTAACTGATAACAGCTCAGGAAGTAAACCTTAGTTTATGAAAGCTACCATACCTGGAGGTTGCTGGGAAGTTATACTCCACCTTCCAGTAACTGACTAATATGCAGGTGGAAAAGCCCCATCCCTTGCCCCTGGGCTGAACAATTTCCATGGTATGCTTCATGCTCTAGAACCCTTTGTGGGATCAGGGTAAAGCTAAACTCCTCCTGAAACCAATATGTTTTCCTCACTCCCTTACAAGTTTCTCATGAAACTACTTTGATAAATTACTGATCTAAGAAACTCCTCCTTGGTCTTTGCTTCTAATAACCTGCTCTAAGATAGAGTGGCTAAGTAAACTGCTAACATTTCTCAGAGATTGAAACCTAAGCAGTCTTCTGTCTCCAGAGTCTTTGTTCCATAATGCATAACTTCTCAACTCCTCTTGGCTCTTGATATTTGTGTTTATATCCACTCAAGCTTAAATATCTCCTTCGTTTTTAGTCTAAGCTTTATAACTAAAATAGAAGCTTTTGAAGTATCCTCAACCTCTGGTTCCTGGCACTATGGACAATCTCAGTGAGGGACATGGCTCTAAGTTTGACCTCTCAGGACTTAACAGCTGCTGATAGTCTGTATCTTTGGTACCCCATCTATGCTCCTCCCAATTCACTGAGAGAGAGAGAGAGAGAGAGAGAGAGAGAGAGAGAGAGAGAGAGAAGACTAAATCTTACAAATGAAACCAGAAAAAATAAACCATGGCACCTTTTGGCTACAAAAGAAGCCACCCACTCTCCTGTGTGAATAAGACAGAAGCCGTTTTCTGATGGTTGGATGGACTTACACTGAGACAGTCATGCCTTTTCTATTGTCCTTGTAATGAAGATACACATTTGTCAGAACTGTTTCAATATTTGACACTTTGTTCAAAATGGATGCCTACCTATACATCACCCAGGTATAAAATGAACTTAAACTAAGAGAACCAGAGTATAATATTGGGGGTAAGAATGCCAACTCTGGAGTTATGAAGATATAAACTCTAATCCAGACTCTACTGTGGGCACGAATCTCTTTGATCATCAGATTTTTCATATGTAGAGCATGTATACCTAGTAATATGTTCACCTCTGAGGAACATTATGAGGGTCACATTAATTTCAGTTAACTGAAAACTCCCTCATGCCTACAGATAATAATCACAAAGAAATATGAATCTTTTTACTGCAAGAAAACTACTGTTGTCTTTTCAGACCTATAAGTCTTTATTTTCTCTGGAGTAGGCTACCTCTTAGTATGAGACAAAGAATCAGAAATATTAACTATCTCTTACTGAGCACTTCTTGCAACAGCATTATGCTAGTACTTCACTCATTTAATTCTTACAACAAATTAATTAGTTCAGAAGTATTTACCCATTTCATAGCTGAAGACACTGATACTTAGAAACATTAACTTGCCTAATTCATAAACCTGGGAATTTATCTTGGTGTATATGATATTCTTTTTTTTGCTGGACATATAATACTTGTACATATGTATATGGTACAACGTGATATAAACATATATACATTGTATAATGATCAAATCAGAGTAATTAGCAAGTCCATCACCTTGAATTTTTATCATTTCTTCATAGTGAGTATATTAAAAATCCTTTCTTCTAGTCATTTTGAGAGATCCATGCAGTATTGTTAACTATAGCCACCCTACATGCAGCAGAATACAAGAATTTATTACTCCTATCTATCATACTGTCCCCATTGGCCAACATTTCCCCACCTCCTAACCCCCTACTATCTCCAGGCTCTGGTGACCACTATTTTCCCCTCGATTTCTATGATTGACTGACTGACCTACCCCCCAATCTCTGTAGCTTTCTTTTTCCTGAGGATGGAACCCAGAGCCTCATGCATGCTAGGCAAATGCTCTACCACTGAGTGACATCCCAGCCCTTTTTATCTTATTTTTGAAATAAATTGCAAGTTGCTGAGGCTAGCCTCAAACATGTGATCATCCTGCCTCAGCCTCCTGAGTTACTGGAATTATAGTCATATGCCATCACAACTAACTGAAAAAGATTTGTTTTAATAAATGATGCTGGATCAACTGGTTATCTTCTAGGAAGAAAATATCAGTGAATTATCATATTAAACTCCATAGAAAAATCAATTTCACATGCATGAAGAATTATATGTAAAATAACAAAACAATAAACAGCATTCCCAGGAAAACTAGAAGATATGACAACTTCTTAACAAAGAATGGAAAAGTGGAAATGATTTTCAATTTTAAATATTTTATGTTGAAACATATCATATACAAAGTCCAAAGGATAAGTAACAAATCTGGGGGAAATATATATAATGGAAACAACAGGCAAAAGTTTAACATCTATATTATTTTAAAAGGTTGTTATAATTTGACAAGAAAACAACAACTCAATAGATAATCACACATAATAAAGGAGTTTATTGCATCAGCATTTGTAACACCTCAACAAGAGATTATTTGACTAAATTATAACAGAACATTCACACCCAGGATTCTGAGGCAGCCATTGGATACAATGTACTAAAGTTGCATGTATCCCTACCTTTAAGCAAGCAGGGGGAAAGTATAACATTGTAACAAATGTTATAACCAATGTTATAGGTAGGGACAGTAAGACTGATAATAGGAAAAGGATATGTAAGTGAAGACAATAAAAGGAAAGAATTGACATTTCATTCACACAGACCATGTATAAAATTGTGTTCGTGTCTTTATGGAAAATTATTATATAATGGAAAATAAACATTTAAAAAGTATGTTTCCTTTGTTCAAACTTCTAAAACTATGAACTCTTAACCAGTTCTCAGACTATTAGTTCAAATTAATGAGAGTTGATTTCAATAAATTAAACCTAAGCAATAGTTTCGATGGAATTCTTTTAAGAAAATGTCATGAGATGTAGGAGATTTATAAGGATGTTATTGTTTGTACTACAGGATTTTTTTGACATTAAGTCTGAATCTAGGCAAATAAATTAATTCATAGATCCATCTTTCTCAAACTGCAGCTTTTATCAATCACCACGGGGATTATAAAAAGACAGACAGACCACAAGGCTATCAGGCTCCACCCCTAGAGATTCTGATTCAGCAGGTCTGGAGGAGAAATCAAGAATTTGCATTTCTAACAAGTTCCCAGGGAAGGCAGATGTTGTTGATCTCAGAAGCACACTTTAAGAACCAATGGTCTAAAGCAAGCTAATATCCAAATGAGGAAAAATGGTCCATGAGATGCTTCCTTAACCACAGTTGTACTCACATTTAAGCCAGCTTTCTTCCAATAATAGCTGCTATACTGGTTAATCATGCACTTTGTTTTTTCTTTAAACTTTTCTTCTGAATCCATAGACCACCAAGGATCTAGGTTTCCATTTTTGTCAAATTTTCTACCTAGCAAAAAGGAAAGTTAAAAGACATTAGTGTTATTTATGGAAACTAAATTCAACATCTTTCCTTTTTCTCACCTTGACAAGCTTTCAAAATGCAGTCATAACAGCAGGGAACACCCTTCCTGAGAACAGCTTCTGCATTCTTTCCAATATCACAGGTTAAATGTAAAGAGGGAGAACAAGGATTGAGAAAATTCTTTCCTTCTAAGGAACAAAGAGCATTTTTAAAAAATGAGATTCCTCAATTTAATGTATGCACCAGTCTTATCCAAATTTGGATTCTGTGTTTTCACCTGATCTGACCTGAAATGTTCTCTGGATTGTGAAATGAAATGGTTTCATTCAAAAAGTCTGTGGAGGGAACCAGAGCACCACTATCAGTGAAGTTCCAAACGATCCATAGGAACAGATCCAGCGAGTTATCCACACATAGGACCATACGCCCTACTCAGCCCCATAGGAACATGTTTCCTCCAAGTTGCCAGGAGCCAAGAGACATATAAAAGCTGGTATAAATCAATCTACAGTCATCAGTATGGATAGAAGGACCCATTTTTTCCTACTTAGACAAGGAAGATTGCTCTAAAAAAGAGAACTTGGAACAAGAACAGAAATCTCTAAAACATAATGGGGAAAAAAGATTAGTTACACATGGTATATTGCTATATGCTAACTCACTAATTTCCCTGCACTCTTCAAAACAACAATTTAGGTACATCTAGACTACTGTCTATATTCAAGGTTACTATATGGTTTAAATTTAATTATGCAAAAATTGTTAAAAGGTCTCCAAAACAAGGGTCCCCTAAGAAAGAGCTTACATGAAAGCCCTCTACCCAAAGGTGTTAATTAGAACAATCCAAAACTCTTTAGCAAGACTGTATGCTAATAATACGACCACCTGGAATGGTGTGGAATCACTGCCCTCCACCCACCAACCAAGCAATCATTAAATAGTTAGTGCACATATACTTATATGTGAATACACTGTTCTAAGTATTGGTCACAAAGCAAAATTCTGTCCTTTGGGAAAGATTCCAAATGGATCTGGTGGAGAATCATACTTAAATTTCCTAGGAAGAAACATACAAAACCAATTGCTTTTGTTTCATAGTTAAGACTCTATTCTCAGATAAACCAAATGTCCAAAGGTAGAAAAATGAGTTCCAAGAAGTCAGATGATTACAAGGCAGTTACATTTTAACAGAGAGAGGGAGACCAAGAGGTAGAAAAACTAGGTGATTAAGGGCAGGCTGGTGGGGGCAGGAAGAAATGTCCAGAAGAAAAAGAACCTGAAATGTCTCTGGCCCTGGGGTAGGCATTCAGTAAAGGATGTTAGAGACACTACAGGCACAAGGGAAACAAGTCCACAGCATTCCCTTGGGCCAGCCAAGTTCTTAAGACTGCCTGTACAGACATTATTATTACTGTGTGTATATATGTGAATGCATGGCCAATGTGATTCTGCAACCTGTATACTCAGAAAAATGAGAAATCATATCCCATCTGATTCAAATGTATGATATGTCAAGGTCATTGTACTGTCATGTGTAACTAATTAAAACAAAAATAAAATAAAATAAAAGATTGCCTGTAAATCATTTTGTGGATGTGATAATAGTTTGCTAATTCATAAACGTCATAGATTTCCTATGGCTTTCCAATAATACTTCAGAGAAAGGAGTGCTGATCTAAAATAAGGACTCTCAGAGGCAATCATTTCTTTAGTTTAGATTATATTCTGCTCTCTTTTGCTTAAATGTCATCATGATGTACAACATATTCTATATTGTGCCTTATTAGACAAGCCTAGCGTTGATAAAAACAAACTCAGAATATATGCCAATATAAAGAAAAACAATGATTAAGCATTGCATAAGCCTTGGAATTGCATAAAGAAACCAGTCAGCCAAGCAGTGCAGCATGTAGAGTCATCTTTGGGGCAGAGCTTGCACCTCCAGGGAAAACATCTCAAAATGGTGAATTTTAAAAAATGACAAAGGGAAGAAGCTATAATACAATTCCTGTAACTACTGTGGCAGGTACAGCAATCCTGATATAAATGCAGAGGTAATATCATTGGAATTACAAGGTCTTCTTTTTTATTCTCCCCCAATTACCAATGAGAATAATTGTTTATTTATTGCAAGCTATCACAGCAAGACATGTGGAAAAGTTTTCAATCAGCAATTGTATTTATTGTATTGGACAATTTTTAGTCTACGATGCTGTTGCTATGCAAAGATAATAACAACAATTAACACCCACATAGTGAACATTATTACAAAAGTGGCAGCTTATAAAATAAACTAGTACTTACCATTATTATCAAATCCATGTGTAAATTCATGTCCAACAATTACTCCGATAGCACCATAACTCAGAGATCTGTATCATAAATACACAATTTGGGGAAAATTATAAGCATGAATCTGAGAGCATAATCCCTTAATTTTTCCAACAAAAGCCAAGACAATCTGTTTTCTAGTAGCCATAATAATAAAAATCTAATAACCATACGCATGAAACTGTAAAACAAACTGTCTAAACATACCCTTCTAATCAAAATGAACAAAGAAAATACAAATTCTAACATTGTCTTTGTGACCTTGTATAGACCTTAGTATCCTACCCTGAAAAATTAAGAATATGAAAAAGATGATTTCTAAAATCCCTTCCAGCCTCAGATTTCTATGATTCTACATCTGCTCTAGTGATATTTTATACTTATGAACACTTAAAACAGGGCTTAAAAAGATCCTGTCAGTAAATATACTATTTTTTATCTGAAAACTTGTTGAAAAGTCACTATAATCTTAGAAGTTAAATTGTTTTCCAAATATAGTCATAAAAAAGAAATAGAGCAGAGATTAAAAGGGATCACTCTGTTTTCAAAGGTAGTCACATTCCTGTTTCTGTGGCAGACAAGCTGACAACTGAATAGCAAAGGCTGTGAAGCCTTCATCAAATTTGGAAAAGGTGTTATATTATTTCTCCTCACCTCTGAAGAAGCATGCATTAGACTCCCTACAATGGCAACCACCAATAATTCCACGCACCCTGAGTAGACATGCCCCCTCTTCCAATCAAAAGGGGATCTATTTCCCTGCCCTTGGATCTGAACTGGCCCTGGGACTTCTCAAGACTAAGAGGAAAAAAAAAAAATGGAAGGGGCCAGGTATGATCTTTGGGCTAAAGCCTGAAGAGACCTCATAGTTTCCCTTTGCTACCCTTTCAAAAGTTAACTACAATGTAAAGAATTTCTACATAGTTGGAAGGAAAGGTCAGGTGAACCAAGAGAGAGACTCCAAAAGTTGAGAGACTCTGAAGGAAGAGAGGCCCGTCTCATTAAAGCCAGCCCAAAGATCCAGTAAAGTCATCATCCTCCTCCAGCCCTATGCACCTACCCAGCCAACACCACAAGAAGCAGGGACAAACTGTCTTCAGTTTGGTCCTGCCCAAAATATAGAATCATCAGCCAATAAATGGTTATTTGGTGGTACTTCATTATGTAGCAATTGATAACTGAAACAAACATATGCATAATATATGAAGAAATCAATAATGGGATTTCCATATGTGTATGTGTATAATTTTCTCTCTCACCTATAAGTTCCATGAAGACACAACCCTTATCTACTTGTTCACTGCTAAATTCTCTGTACCTAGTACACAATAAGAAAGTTAACAATGATTTAACTAATGCTTAATTAACTTTACCATTTCATACAAATGGCAGATCTATATGTATCTTATTGAAGTCATTTAACCTGTGGATGAGGAATATAGACTATTTAGAATATTACTGTTAGGATTCTTCATGAGATTTACAATGATGCTAAAAATCTCTCACAGTTGGTTCCTGACATGCAACATCAAAGTCACCCAGCAAATAGATAGGACCCATAACTGGAAAGAACAGAAATTTCTGAAGCAACATGTTATTACAGGATATAATGATCCTTAACATGCTAATTGTTTGTCTCAACTATACCCAAGGAAGTGCTGTAAGATTTAATTTTTCCCCTTGGTGGCAATTCTTTCCTTTGTTATTTCTTTCCTGCAAGGTAATTTGCATTTGGGAAAAAAAAAGCTTCCTACTGTTTTTCCATCATTGCAAACCTTCATTAAAGAAGTAAGAGCAAAATTATGCATTTCAATCATGGAGCTATCATAGCAGTATGGGACAAACTTGTAATTTTACGTAGTGCTAATTCTTGCAGCAGTAGCTATCACTATGCAGCCTGCAACATTTAGTTTTTCCAGATTGTTCAGCCCTGGGAATGAATACTCAGTCCTCTACAATCTTCAGTCAATGCTGTTGACTGGATGAATTTAAGGCACAAAAAATGGAAGCTTATAGAAACTGCTCTGCAATAAATGTCCCTTAAGAGGAACTGCACCAACAGACTTTCTATTTGCAAAGGATAATAGAGAACTCAGAAAATGACTAAGTTTAAATTAATAAGTTTCGATTCTCAGTTACAAAGTCACAATCCTTTGGACAAGAGACAAAGAAAAGGTACTTTTATATGATTAAACCTTATAATGGTAATGTTTCATAACATTAAATTTATATCCTCCATTTTATCAATGGACATTATTTAAATTAGCATGACATTATTTAAATGCAACTGACTGGCCAGAAATCTGAAGAGCTCCTGTATTGAACATCTAGCCTGCCAAAAATAAAACAGGAAAGATGAAAATTTCACTACCTACTCAGTTTCTCTTTTGTTCTTACCATCCAATGGGTTTAATATATACAGAACATTCACTGTCAATAATAAAACAACTATATTATTATCTGGACACACCATGATCTCATGCTATTATAAAGTAGGCTACCCTGTGTTTGGATCATAAAAATCTCCAGGTTGAAAGTGGTTTTGAGGTCATCTAGCTCAAACTTTCTACTAAGAGGCATGGTTTCCTGTACAGAAACTTGTTCAAATGGTCATAAGGTGTCTGCTTTGATATTTCCAAATGACCAGGAGCTCAGCCCCTTCTGAGGTAGCCAATTCTCTTTTTAGGTGGTTCTATAAAAAACAGTTCTAATATTGATCTGAAATTTCTTTCCCCTGCCTTCAATGTATTGATCCAGTAAAGTCTAGCTAAACACCTGCTGATTTTCCTGAATATAAGAAATCATTCTGCCACCTTCATTTTCCTTCAAAAACATGAAAATAATTACACAATTCACCTTCAAATGTTCTCAAATTCTTTCAGTTATTATTATTCAATCATGAACTCTAGACCAGCATTTCCCAAAACACAGGGAAAAGAGTTTTTGAATCTCTAGGTTAAACCCATTAGGTTTCTTTCTTGTAGAACTTGGGAACTTTTATGCTGATGAGTATTGTGATTCTCCAAAAATAGAAGGGTGAAGGGATTACTAACTTCTAACATTTCATGGAACACACACTTTTGGAAATGTTGTAATGCTATCTTGGCCATTTACAATTCAGATTCTCTCCTCTGGAAACAATTTGACTTGTTCATGTCCTCATAATTAGACCCAACACTCAGGTGAAGGATAAGCTGACTAATGTGAGCAGAAAGGATACCCAGTTCTTTGTGGTTATCAATCAATTAATACAGTATAGATAGATGCATGGGAAGCCATCTCACTGGACCGTGATTTCTTTGTCTCCAGCATCTCTATGTTCCCAATGCCAAACACCCAAACAATACTTCATAGCTATTTGTTGAGTGAATATCTTAATAGATGATAGATGGCTTAGTAAGGACATAGAACTCTTTAGGAAAAAAATATAAATCTCTCTCACTGAAGTAACAACTATGGCTGAGCCTAAGATGGAACTAATAGGCACAAATATTAATTCCTAAGTTTCTATGACTTTGACTTTGATATCAGAAAATCATGCTCATGAACTCAGTAACAAATCGTTGAACTAGTAACTTCCAAACCTAACCATACTATTTCTAAGTCTCCATCTACCTAACAACAATAATAGAAGCTCAGTTAAATTTTTACTGATAAACAAAATCAAAGAATTCTAGAACTTTTAGTTTAAAGGAATCTTGGAGAATATTTGGCTTAAAACTTTAGTTTTATGGAGATATATCTATGTCTATATGTAAAATCTTAAATATAGGGAAAATTGATTCCAAATATCTGGACACTAAAGAAAACTATGCAGCTGAGGCCTGAGATGGTATAAAAGTTGATTAAATACAAGCCTAAAATTTGCATTTATTGTAACAATGATGCTGTAGGCTTTATTGGTAGCTGCCCATGTTCCCTGAGTACTCATCATTTCTAAACAATCAACAACTTAATTCTTTGACTTTATATTTTGACCTTTGCAAAGACACCATGATCTTCCCTCCTAACTTGTCAATAATTGGTTTCTTTACTAATTTACTCACCGAGGATATTCTGTTCCCCAAAAGAAAGGCTTTTGCAGCTCTCCTGCTGGAAATCCTGCGAGAAAGAAAACCAAACAAACAAAAAATGTTAAGGGATATAGAGATTGATTCATTGAATTCCTCCTTACAGCTAAAGCCTGAAGCTTCCAAAGGCCCATCTGGAACTAGGGGCCTCTAATCTCTTTAATGGTGATATTAATTCATCTGAGCTTGAAATAAGTGCATTGAACCATTCCAAGGACACTATTTTGCACAAACATGCTATTGGCAGTATCCAGCTTGTGGAGAACTGGGTCCTTTCATATACAACATGCAGAGAAGGCTTCAGGTTGTCCAGCAGCTTCTCCTGATGCAAAAAGGGCCCAGCTTCATGAATATGCAAACTGTGCAGTCACACAAGCCCCACATGAAGAAGGACTGCACACTTGGTGTAGAACTTTACTGTCACTGTCTTGAAATTCTTGGTAATTTAATCTTCTAACTTGTATTTTGTTCATGAAGTCTAAAGGGCAATGGAGCATTTGTGTGAGCAGAAGAGACACACATTATATTATGTCTAGTGTTTTTATGTAACTCATTTGCACACAGCACTCTTGACACCCCAGGAGCACAAGATTCTGGCAGGCCCACAACATGTGGGAGTTCAGCCACATGCAAGTTGACTATAAGACAAGCCTGTTACTCTGGAACTGAGTGAGTAGGTGCTAGGACAGCCCCAAGAAGCCGTGGTTTCCATGTGAACCAGAATTTGCTTAGTTCACTAAAAAAAAGGTAATAGTGTTCTACGAAACAAAATGATTAAGGAACCCTGTCATGTCCTTTATTTCTCCTGTTACTTCTCTGTATTGGCCAACCTCTTACACTGAAAATTATAATATAGAAGGAAAGGGAAAGATAGGGCAGTGCATAATTTCTTTTCCTTTCAATTCTTCCTTACTCGTAAGTAAGATGAAGTTAGAATGTTGGTAGACTGTACAAGTATTAAGAAGTAAAAACAGTTCTGTGCAGCATCTCTACCTTGCTGGTATGAATAAATATATAAATAAATATATATATATATATATATATATTTTTTTTTTTCCAGGATGGGGATGTAGCTCAGTGGTAGAGTGCTTGCCTAGCATGTGTAAGGCCCTGAGTTCAATTCACAGTATCACCAAAAAAAATAATAATAATACATGCACACACAAGTTACATATAAACTATGATTTTGGTGGGTCCATATACAAATTACATCTTCTCATATTTGCATTTAAAACTGGCATTATGCAATATAAACAGTAAAATTCATGCTAATGATATAAAATGTTAGTTGTTCTTAGAATACCAATCAATAAGCATCAAAAAATACTGTGACATGTCAATAGAGAGAGACCATGGAAGATAAAGCTTTATATTTTGGCACCTGCAGTGGTACTTTTTTCTGCTTTCTGCACAAGAAGCCCTGCATTTTCATTTTGCACTGAGCCCTACAAATTATGTAATTGGCCCTATGTGTAGATGAGGGGGAGAAATGCTTGGCTTTGTCCTTTCAACTCACCACTAAAAAGTTTGCACCCTGGGTTGATCATGAGAGTTGCCTTTACTAGTCATTACAGCTGGGAATTCAAAGAATAGTAACTGAGAGAGAGAATGAGAAAGAAAGAGGAGGGTCAGGGGAAGGCCTTCTGCAGTGTCCTTGCCTGCTTCAGAGCAGCTGCTCTAGGCCCCATGAGACTGAAAGCTCTTTTCTGAGTTCTTCCTCTCCCCCACTCCCCTGCAAATTTCTTTCTTCCTCCCCTCCATGGCATTAATTTAGAAGTAAAATGTTAGTTTCATAAGACTCTTGCATATATATTATTTTCTTTTGTATTAATAATATCATAGTTTGAGATTTCAAGGTACAAAACTCAATTGCAAAACAGAGATGGATCCAGTTAGGTTTTCTCTTCCTTCAAATAGAGGAAACTGCATCTAATATAACCAAATTTGAAGGGGTAATATTACATTAATCTTCATAATTTCCACATTTCCTTAAATATCTTTGGCATCTTTACATCATTATCCCATTCTCCTCATTGGGGGTGGGGTGATTATTTTTAGTAAGCAATTCTTATTTGGATATATGTACATATATATGCAAGTATATACTACATATAAATGCAAATCACAATTTTTATATAAAATTTCAGTTGCAAACAATAAATCATCCAAAAGCAATGATATTTCCTAATAAGAACAGTGATCATAAACCAATGTGATTTAATTGTTAAACCATTATGGATTCCCCCACCTGCTAATGTGCCCAGCTGGAAGCAGTTATGTCCATCACCAACCTCTTTATAGGAAAACATCTGACACCTGCATGAGCCTTGATTTCTGCAGCTTTTGCTTTCAGGGGCCTCAGACTCAAGTGCCACAGTCATCACATTACCTTGATCAACTGTATCTTCTCAGGTTTGCAGGGCCATGGAACCCAATACTGATAAACACAAGAATCTGATGCCCTCAGGCATGTTTTGCTGAAGTGAATGGATTAACAGTGTAAGCTGCAGTTTGGGAGATGTCAACTAGCTAGAGTGATAGATGGAATCCCAACAGGGTCAACTCCGTATCTTATCTCATAAAGTGGATAAGTTGCATTAGCAAAGATGGAAGTAAAAAATAAATAAATGAAAAGGGAATTTTTTTTCTTTCCTCATTTTAAAAATCAATTTTTCTTATGTTTTCTCACATTCATTTGATTTCAGTATGTGGGTGTGGATGTTTGTATATGAGAGGGAGGAGGGAGAGGAATGAAAAATTTTAAACTATTTAAAATGGCAAAATTAATTAATTTGCTAATAGGTAACATTGGCCAGAATGTAAGAAGTATATTGGTGGGAGTGCAAACTGTTACAAGCATTTTGGAGATCAATTTAGTCATCTCTTCATGCTTAAAAATGAGTAACTGGGGCTGGGGATGTGGCTCAAGTGGTAACACGCTCGCCTGGCATGCGCGGGGCGCTGGGTTTGGTCCTCAGCCCCACATAAAATAAAATAAAGATGTTGTGTCCACCGAAAACTGAAAAATAAATATTACAAAATTCTCTTCTCTCTCTCTCTCTCTCTCTCTCTCTCTCTCTCTTTAAAAAAAAATGAGTAACTGGACTGGGAATGTGGCTCGGTGGTAGAGCCCTTGCTTAGCATGCGTGAAGCTCTGGGTTCCTTCCCCAGGACTGCAAAAAAAAAGTAAATAAATAAAATAAATGAATAATTCCCTAGGTGATGATATGGGAAAGGCTCTAAGAGATATTAAGTGAGAAAAATTAATCAGAAAAACAGCATTTTAATGTGGTGTATGGAGTTCTTTTGTGTTATGTATGTATAAATGTATTTATACATACGTATATCAAGTTCTGCTACAACAGAATCTGTTATATAAAACAAAAGACAAATATCGTCCAACATGATAGATAACTAGTGAAATTTGGGGACATAACTCCAACTCACATTTGCTCACATAAAATTCCATCCACGAGGAATGCTAGCTAGCTGAAAGCAGAAAACTGAACCCAACTGAACTAAATCACATAGGAATAAACAAAATGCTCACCAGAACACACTTCAACATGACCAACTGCCTTAGTTTACAGCATGGGTTACAAGCTGCACCCACCACATTTGGTTTAAAACTTTCCTTCCAATTGCAGATAGTCCTCTTTGCACCACTACACAATATCTCACATGGGCAACCCCTCCAACACCAACATCATAAGCTAGCTTCAGGTCTTTTCAAGGGAAAGTGCTATATTTACTATAATATTTGCATATTGACCAATTTAACATATATAAAACTAGCTATCTTTTTTATTAGCCCCCCCAGATTTTATTTTTATATGTCACTAATAAAATTTTTGAGGGCTGGGGTTGTGGCTCAGCGATAGAGCGCTTGCCTAGCACGTGTGAGGCCCTGGGTTCAATCCTCAGGACCACATAAAAATAAACAAATAAAATAAAGGTATTGTGTCCAACTACAACTAAAAACTAAATATTAAAAAAAAAGGTTTGATTGTGTCCCAACTCCATTTCTTCCATATGCTCCATGGCTTTTATTACAAAATTTTGCATAATTCAGTGATGCTTAGGAACACATACATCCCTGTATAGCAAAATTGACTGTGCACATACACATATGAGTATGTATGCGGATATACACACACCTACCAGTAGTTCTCAAATGTTATCATGCATGAGAATCAATAGAGAACTTGTTAAACTACAGATAACTAAGCCTTATACTCAGAGTTCCTGAGTCAGTAGGTCTAGAATAGGGCTGAGAATTTGCATCTCTAGCAAATTCCCAGGGAACATTGGTGCTGTGGATCCAGGTACCACACTGTGTGAATTCACTTCCCAAGCACCTGGAGTTCACTGCACTCTGGAGTTCACTGCTGTATTACTTGTAATTGGAAAAAAAAAAAAAGTGTGCAATACGCCAAACGTCTAATAGGAGGGGAATGACTTGTTTACCATATGACCATATCATGAACTGATATGCAGAAAATGGAAAGAAAGAGGTCAGTCTTTTGTTGGGGGATTGAACCCTGGGGTGCTTAACAACTGAGCCAGACCCCCCCTTTTTTAAATATTTCATTTAGAGACAGGATCTTGCTAAATTGCTTAGGGCCTTGCTAAATTGCTGAAGATGGCTTTGAACTTGCAATCCTCCTACTTCAGCCTCCTGAGCCACTGGGATTATAGGCGGCACCTGTAAAGAGGTCAGTTTTAAAAGTCTATCATGGAGGGGCTGGGGTTGTGGCTCAGAGGTAGAGCACTTGCCTAGCATGTGCAGGATGCTGGGTTCAATCCTCAGCACCACATAAAAATAAATAAATAAAATAAAGGTATTGTGTCCAACTACAACTAAAAAAAATATTTTAAAAAAGTCTATCGTGGAAAAAAATCTCCAAGGTATGTTATTGGAATAAAGCAAGGTATAGATATAGATATCTAGATACCATTTATTTTCTTAAAAAAATAGTTACCCTATCAGTCTGAGTACATACACACACACACATTTTTCACAGAAAATGT